CATCTCCTTTCTAGCACCTTTGCACAGACGTTACATGGGGGGCTCAATAACGTTACGCCCCTATAACTGGAGCATTCCTTATGTTCTTCCTTCTTGAATACGGTACAATAACTTCCGTTCTCCAGTCCGCCGGTGTCCTTCCCGCAGTCATCGCAGTTTGACAGACGCATGTTAGCCAGCATATGCCTTGTTCGCCTAATGCCATGAGCGTCTCAGGGCGGATTTCATCAATTCCAGCGGCTTTTCCATTTTTCAAGCTTCTCACAGCTTGTGTAATTTCATCTACAGAGAAAATAATACCCGTACCTTTATGCTTTATAGGCGAGTTTTCCTGCGGTTGCGTGGGGTTAAGGAATTCCTCAAAGTACTCCCTCCATCGTCGAAGAATGTCATTATCTCTGGTAAGAGGGTGTCCAGACCTGTCCTTCAAGATTCTGAGACTGCCCTTCTTTTCACCTCGGAAAAGCTGGATAGTCTGCCAAAATACTTTGTTTGCGGTGTGGAAATTCGACTCCAAAACCTCACCGAACTTCTCCCAGGAATCAGCTTTGCCTTTTGCCACTGCTTTGGTTGCCGCCTTGCGTGCCTCGACATAGCGCACAGGAGAAGAAGACTGCTTGTTTCCGAGCCATTTTTTGAACGCTGCTTTCTTCTCTTTAACTGCCAGTTGTACCTCTCCTGTCCACCATGAAAATCTTTTTTGACCTCCAGGCGGCAGGCAAACCCGTTTATATCCGCAGCATTCAGTGGCAGCCTCGAGTAGGCTTCTCTTAAACAGCTGCCACTCGGTTTTAACATCAGTTGTCATCGTTGGGTGTCGTGCGATGTTGTTTACAGATTTCGCTCTCGTGTTTACGAAAGATAATGTTTCCCGTTTGATTCTCCGGTTGCGTCTGCCACGAGATCTTCGTGTGGTACTCCATTTCTTACAGCGCAGCGTGCTAGATCGGTTGATAGCTCTGCGCCTCTTTTAGCGCGAACTTCCATTACTGAGCCTCTTAAGTCAGAGGATATGATTATCAAATCGATC